ACAAATCGTCCACTTTCTCTCCAGAAAGTTCGGGTGCATAATATAAGATGGATACTGAGACTCAAGAGATGGCTCGGTTGTTAAGGACACGTACTGCCCTTGTAGAGGACCCATTAACAACCATCTGTAACTCCAGTTCCAGGGGATCCAATGCTATCTTCTGGCCTCTGCAAACATTAGTACACACACACACACACACACACACACACACACACACACACACACTCACACACACACACACGTAAAACACTCATACACATAAAATAAAATAAGTTTATAAAAATGAGATTGATGTTGGAGAGGCACACCATAACTAATCCAGAAGAGAAGCAAACGGTCCAGCAGGGAGGAGGCTGAGGACCCTGTGGCTTCAGGGGCAGGGCTGAGTGAAAGACAGGGCTGGGTCGATGGGGAAAGAGGGAGAAAAGGATGAGGGAGGAGAGGGAGGGCTTGGGTGAGAGACAGGGCCCCGACATCCTACCAGGCTTCTCTCACAGTCAGAGGCTCATCCTGAAGAGCTGCCATCTCTGTGGTCATCCGGTCAGCGGGACCAGCACTCATAGTTAGCGGCAGAGAAGCTGAGAATGTCCTATGTCAGTCCGCCCTCCCCAGGGACGGGGACACAGGGTGCGGAGCTCATAGCCTCTCCTCCACAGGTGGCTCCAGCATGTGCTTCTGGGCAGAGAACTGCTTCACCCTGGCCCCATACACCCTGGTGCACCCCCACAGGCCTGCCCGGCCCCGGCCTGTGCTCTTCGTGCCCAGAGTAGTTGGGAAGATCCTGAGTAAAAAGCTCAGCCTCCTCCAAGGCTTTAAGCAGTGTCCGGCAGGTATGCACTCCTCGGTCCCATGGCCAGAGGTTGTCTGTCTTGGGTCAGCAGAGACCTGTGTTCCATATCAAAACAGAGGGCCACAAGCTGGGACATTGAAGGGTGAGGATTGTCTCATGTTTCCCTGGTTGTCTGGCCTCAGGGGTGCAGGAGATCCCCACCCATCTTGGCTTTGGTCACTCCTGCTCTTTTTCCTTCTGTATGTCTATGTCTACACATGGCCTTTTTAGGGTCTATTGTAGCCCAGAACTGTCTCATAGAAAAACCCAATTTCCAAGAAAGTCAGTCCATTCTGAGTTCTGATGGACATTAGTGGGGTGGGTCATTATTGAAAACAGGATGGACTTAGCAGGGTAGTATGGCTGGACGGTTCTATCCATTTGCTACCAGCCACCAGGCAGCTTTATGGAAGTGCCTTCTAATCCCTAGGCCCACAGGTTCAGGAAAGGCTGACTGACATGGGTGGGTCACTGTGTGGGGTGACAGTGTCCATCCTACCCTCTTGACATCCAGAGGAGAGAAGGAAGCGGGCACCATCCATGATGCCCCTCCATTGAGCACCTCCCTCGGCCAGCCTCCATGGGAAAGTGGGAGAAACTGACTCCCAGAGGCCCTGGGAGCCCTTGAGTTCCTCTCGAAATGGTCACCTGGGTGCAGTTGGTGCAGACCAGTGGGACAGAGCAACCCAGACTGTGTGCTCTGCACATGCCCAGAGAGAGGGGGTGATAATGTGGGAGATGAAGGGCCAGCCAGCAGGGGGCAGAAGGGAGGTGGTGACTGGAGGCAGCGAGGTGGTCCAACTGGCCAGCCAGCATGTACAAAGGCACACGGAACACTGGGCTTGAGCCACTGCTCTGGTGGCCAAGGAGAGTGGAGGCCAGGAGTCCAGTTGATAAAAACCCTGAGTTTTGAAAGCGGGGAAGTTCTCTGAGGCTTGACATTTGAGCACCTTTCTTGAAAGCAGGGTGGAAGATGGCTGAAGAAGGCCTGGCCAGGGGATGTGCTCAACTGCTGGAACTTGGGCGCCCAGGGTTCCCAGCAATGCTGCAGTGGTGGGGGGGAGGGGACTCCTGAGATGGATACAGCTGGGCTGCCTTGATAGGCAGACAAAGGCTAGGAAGAGGGCAGGGCCGTTCTGACCAAGCTGGGACCGGGAGAGCTGCTCAGGAGGTCCAGATGGGTTCTCAGCCTCAGCACCAGGCCATCAGAGGCTGCCATTCTCTATTTTGTAGCTGTCCTGAGCACTGTAGGATGTTTGACAATATGCACACAATGGAAAATTGCCCCCAACACTTCCCAGTATTCCCTGGGGCCAGGACCATGCTGGGTGGAAAAAGTGATTTAAAGGACTGGTGGGAATCCTCAGTGTTAGGAGTTGGATCCACCTATATGTTTGGAGCTTGGAAGTGATGTTGAGCATTGTCCACTTGTCTATCTGTCTGCCTATCTATGGGTCCATCCCTCCATCTATCCTTCCCCCAGCCTCACCTGCCCCAGATTCCACACATGCCATGCTCCTGGCTCAGGACTTCTGGTAGGAGGCAGGGTAGGTTTCTACATGGTCACTGAATATGGTGGGAGACCTCCAGTGTGGGATGCTTATCAGGGCTCCCTCAGGATCCCAGTGTATGACCACTCCATCCAATGTCACCACCAGAGTACTTGAGCCAAGAGGAGTATGTCACCTGGAGCCAGAGAGGAGATATCATCCAGGAGGGAGAGTCGATAGGTGACCACCACTGGGTCACCCGGCATGCTGTGGAGTCCCTCATGAATACGGTAAGGGAAGGGTTAAAAGGCTACTCTGGGGGTGGCAGCTCCTGCCCAGGCTTGTCAACACACATACCATGGAAGGTGACAGCTGGCGTTGTCTGGTTTTTTATGTGCATTGGTGTGTTGCATATGTATCTGTATGAGGGAGTCAGATGCCCTAGAACTGGAGTCACAGACAGGTGTGAGCCACCATGTGGATGCTGAGAATTGAACCCAGGTCCTCTGGAAGAGCAGCCAGTGCAGTGAATGGCTGAGCCATCTCCCCTGCATTATCTGATTCTTAGGGTTTACACTCCATGCAAAATCTATCTCAGTGTCAAAGGTTTGCAATCCCAGATTTTGCCAGGGTCAAATCAAATGGACATCACCCTTTAAGAGCTACAGAGGGCGCCCTGGTGCATGCCAAGTGTCCTCTATTCAGGGCTCTTCTAAACAGCCCTGCTCTCTGCTGCATGGGGTTAGTCTCGCTTCCTCCCAGACCTGAGGCCCATGAGCTTAACTTGCTTCTCTATGTCCTCCCAAAGAGCACCCACGCCCTGCTGGATGTCCGGCTGGACAGTGTCCGTGTCCTGCACAGGATGGACATCTTCCCCATCATCGTCCATGTTTCTGTCAATGAGAAGACAGCAAAGAGACTCAGGTAGGTGCTTGCTGAGGGCTGGGCAGTGGAGCTGGGCAGTGGAGCTGGGCAGTGGAGCTGGGCAGTGGAGCTGGGCAGTGGAGCTGGGCAGCAGGGTCCAAACAGGGGCCTGAGCTCTGGAAAAGCTTGGCAGAGGCCTCTGGAACACGCTAGAGCTCTTTCTATTCCAGCCTGCAGTGATGGCCTCACATCCTCAGGCCAGAGGTCCAGCTTGAAAACCCTTCCCCTGCTCCAGCAGGCTAAAGCTACACAGTGCCTGAGGCTCTTGAAGCCTAATTTGTGCTGATCCCACCCCCCATCACTTGGTATGTGGCTCAGACAAACACATCCTGCTGCCTGGATCCTTTGGGAAGTGGATAAGCTCTGCACACCCCATCAGTGCATGCCACTTGCAGTCCAGTCCTGGCCTCTTTCTGAGCTTCCCTGGGTAGGACTCCCATGCTTGTGCCCAAGGGCATTTTGATGCATGCTGAATCGTCTACTGACTCTGGCCTGGACCCTACAGTGCTCTCCTGGAAAGCCCAATGGTGTGCTTTCCTGGCTACCTTGCTGTCTTTGGGCTGACCGTCTCTGCTTTGCAGGAAGGGCCTGCAGCGGCTTGGCACCTCGGAGGAGCAGCTCCTGGAGGCGGCACGGCAGGAGGAGGGGGAATTGGACAGAGTGCCCTGTCTGTACAGCAGCCTGGCCTCTGACAACTGGAGTGACCTGGACAGCCTGCTCAGCTGTGTGCGCCTGGCCATTGCAGATGAGCAGAAGAAAGTGGTGTGGACGGAGCAGAGCCCCTGCTGAAGCCCCAACCTGGCTTAGGACTGTGGTGACCTCCATGTGTCTGTCTGCAAACAACCCCACTTCCTTCTCTGGTCAGGGTCCGAACTCACGATGTGCTCACAGCAGCCAGAGTGTAAATGATGACGCCACCTTCACACAGCATGGCCTGGGCTGCTGGAAGACTGGAGAACATTCTGCCATGTGGAGGTCCTTCCTAAGACGGGCTCAGTGCGAGTGCCCCAACCTCCTGGGATAACGGGAATAGCTTCGAGGGGACTGTCCCCTCCTTTTACATTTTCGATGCCAAAGGAATCTTGCAAGCCCACTGGAACAGCCATCCCTGCCCAGGGCAGGGGCACAGACTCCGGGCACTGAGGGCATGGCTAACTCAGCACAGCTAACAGCCAGTGCTGCCAGACACCTGCAGACAAGGTTGCCATGGCACCCAGACTTGAGTTGCTCTTAGACTCATGGCCTCACGCCCAGCCCCAAACACCAGGTTGCTCTGGTAGATGTCCTGGACAGAGCCAGTGGACTCTTCCCGAGAGAACTTCCTCTCAAACTGACATTACTCTCTGGTCCTTCCCGGAGTGCATCACACCCCGCTCGGGTGATGCCATCACCTAGCCATAAATGAATCATTTTGACAGGGTATTTGAGTCTCAGTGCCTAAGATCTCGTCTGCTACTATCAAGTTCTGTGTACTATTACACTATTGTAAAAAGCGTTACCGATGCTAGAACCCCTGGCTCTCTCTGCCTCCCAGGATGGAGTTGATAGGGACAATGGGGACAGACTCTCTCCTATGGGGCGTTTACCCACCACCCCCACAGTTCCCCAGAGTTTTCTTGAGTGCAATCAGCAGGAAATATTAGAAGGATTTATTGTGGAGAATATTGCCGAGATAAACAGATAGAAAATAAAGGATAGCCTCAAGAGGGCCTGGAACCTTTTCCAACGGGCCCCGACTGTCTCTGCCCCAGGGTTTTTATAGAGACGCCAAGGGGTGGAGCAAAAGACCTCCTCCCCAGCACAGCCAAGTGCAGAGCATCTCAGACACCTGCACTCAGGCCCGTGGTCCTGATCATCCTCTATGCGGACCTGCTGGGTAAAGCACCAGGACCCGAGGACGGGCTCCCACAGTCTCCTAGGTTTGCAGGCTGTGCTTCTGACCCTTGGCAGGTGGAGGAAGGGGAAGGCTGGGGCCAGCAGCGTGGTGTCACTCAAAGAGAGAGAACGAAAGGCAAAGAGGGACACCCTGTCCTCAGTCACCCTCAGAAAGGACAAGCTGAGCCCAGAAGGACCACAGGATCAAACTCATCACCTCCGAGCACCAGTGAGATTTCTGGCTAAGCCTGCATTAGAATGAAGGGGAAAGCAAGCCCAGGGCCTCCCAAAGGCTTCCTCTACGCCACGGCTGGTTAAAGTCGTCAGTGTGGTCTGCCCGCCGCCCACGAGGCACACAGAAGCCCTGGGCTCCTCTTAGGAAGAAGGGCTTGAAAACATCCATGGGTTCCAGACACCAGGGCTTCAAACTCTCAGACCTCGCCCCTCCATCCGCAGGTCAAATTTGGGATTCTGTCCAAGTTTCCCCTACAGCTCCTGGGTCAGGTCACACAGACGTGAGGACAGCAGTGTTTCTGGTGTGGTGGCAACATGGGGAGTGCATGCCTGAACGTCCTCTCCCGAGGCAGGAGCGGCATCCCACATCATAGATGGGTGTGTGGAGGGTGGGGCTGTGGGCGCTGCCTCCATTGGTCCCTCCTTGTGCCTGAGTGCAGGCTGCCAAGTGCCCCGGGGACTGTCAGAGCTCGTTGTGAAGAGGTCGGCACTGCGGTGTGAGCTTTTCCTCCAGGACCCCGTCAGGGGCGCACACCCAGGGGTCATGCGTCTCCCACTGCCATTTGGCCAGCTGGGCTTTCAGCATCTCCAGTACTTGCGAGAAGTGTGGGTCAGCGGCCAGGTTCTGTGTCTCTCGAGGGTCCCGGCTGACATCGTAGAGTTCCCAGCGTTCCCGGTAGTAGTAATGGTGGAGATCCTTGTACCAGCCCGTGGGCTGGCCAGCTGTGGTTCGGTTCAGGAGGTCCTGGAAGGTCGGAGAGACATAGAAATTTTGGTCGATGGGAAATGGCATCTTGAAGCTGAGGTTGTGAATGAGGCGGAAGTTCTGGTGGTGTACCGAGCGCATGGGGTAGGACATGGTGACCTCGTGGTGGCTCTGGCTACTGAAGACAGTGGCCCAAGGGGGCTCTGCCTCCAGCGCTGGCAGCAGGGATCGGCCTGTGAGCTGGATCGTCTTGGAGCCAAAGATGGCATAGCTGGGATATGGAACGTTGAACCAGTCCAGGACGGTGGGGGTGAGGTCTGCAAAGAAATAACTCTGAGCTGGGGTCGCTGAGGGACTCAGAGCCATTCAGAAGGGGTGAACCTGAGCCTCTCTGGAAATCCCATGGGCACACTGCAGGACAGATCAGCAGTGGCGAGGGACTACTTTGGGCCGCACCTCATCACTGGTCACCCATGGCCTGTGAAGCCATTAATGGCATAACCAGAGGCCCTGGCTTGCTGAGATCTAGGGACCTGGGAAAATCCTATGGACCAGAAGAACCCTGGGTCAGGAGGGCTCACCTAGTCACTCTGGGTCGGTCACAAGGTTCCCTCACTCATGGTTTGTGGTCACATGGAAAGGTGGGTGCATGCCAGAGAAAGCCTGTCTCATAACCCCTGAGAACACAGAGGCTCTCCAAGCAATGGGCTGGCACAGAAAGCTTCTGACAGGGCTGGCTGAACTCTGCCCCTCCGTTTCCCACACCCGCGGTCATGTTTGCTCGTTCATGGTGTGGGGCTAGAGAACCGGGCCCTCAGAACCGAGTTTCATGACATACGGTGGATCCTGAGGAAAAGGGAGATGCCACACTGGTTCTCCAGTGGGTAACCCACAGCCCATTAGTACCACCTGGGACCCCACCAGACACTCAGGGTATTGACATGACAGGAACAGGCCTCCCAGGTGACTTATTCTC